GAACGGCGCCCGCCACGCCTTTATCTAATCAGAGGCGTTATTCTCCGGGCGTCCGTGCCGCGCCGTGCCGTGCCGTGCCGTGCCGTGCCGTGCCGTGCCGTGCCGTGCCGCGCCGTGCCACGCCGTGCCACGCCGTGCCTTGCCGGCCGGGTCGTGCCGCCCTCCTCCTTGCCCTGCTCTCGCTCGCACTCAATTTACTCCGCAGCCTGTCAGTCGCACCATCAATACGCACTGCAGGACGACAAACGAGAAGTTGAGAGCGGGGTGGGGGGGGGGAGGTAGAAGTGGGAAGGGGGGTCTGAATGTGAACCTTGTGCGACGCAATGCAGAAACAGCAGCCCGGCGTAGTCATCATGGACCTCTGTGGCATTGAAAGATGACCGGGCGGAATGGCCCGTCGGGGCGGGGCGGGGCGGGGCGGGGTGGGGTGGGGCGGGGCGGGGCGGGGCGGGGTGGGGTGGGGCGGGGCGGGGCGGGGTGGGGCGGGTTGCGTAAGGGGAGTCATGACGTAGTGGACGCCGTCCTCCAGCAAGAAATTGCGTCCCAAATACCATAATCCCAACCAAAACCGTCTCGCAAATTTTCGTCCGCCGTTTCTCACGCTAGAAAGTCGCTCTATTTTTCCGCCCGGCCTCGCCCGCCCGTCTTGCTTATTCTGGGCCAAACTTGTTGTGCCCTGCCGGCAGTTTCACAGTGCTCGCTGCATTAGCGAGGGGCGCTTAGCAATTCATTGAATTTCGCCCCCCGGACGTTATTTATTCAATTTGGGCCGCGACTCCCACACTGTGGCGAGGCGGCGTGGCACCGAGCTTTCAGCGTGTAGCGGCGCGACGAGGCGCGGCAGCACCGCGTTGACGCGCGCCCGGGAACCTCGGAAATTGTTTCACAGAGCGGCAGCGCGGCGGCAGCGGGGCGTGTTTGTTCCGAAACTAGTGGCTGGCCAGTCAACGCCGTGTCCACCGGAATCCCTTACAGGGCCGCGCGCGTGAGAGCCCCGCCCCGCCCCGCCTGGGGGTCCTAATGTGGACAAACAATTCACATGGAAGGCCCTTGGCTGGCTGGGCCCTGCCTGCCCTGCCTGCGCGGCGCGGCCGGCCTCCTCGGCGTAATGTGTGTACTGCGGTGTACTGGACGTGTTTTCGAGGCATTATCATAACGCTAATTGTGCATGTTCGGTCGGACGTCCTGGCCACGTCGTCCCGCCTCACGCGGAACGCAAAGAAACGAGCCCCGTGCACACGTGCGTATACACTGCGTACCTCGCCGTGTGTGCCCGGGAAAGACAATAATTAGGCTAAGCAGTAAATTTAATTACGCCCCTAATAAACTTGTCGCGGTAATGAAACTTAATTTTTTTGTGGTGGCGTAAAAAGGGCGGGATTTCGGCGAGGAAAAGCAGCGCGCGGACTCGGGATTTGCCGGGGTGCAAAAACATGCGCTAGAGGGGGAGCGGGATGTAAGTCTTGTTGTTGTTGTTGTTGTTGTTGTTGTTGTTGTTGTTGTTTTCCCCTTTCCTCCGGAAAGCTCTTACACGCCTCGTCTAAACGGCAGACAGAAGCAGCAGCAGCAGCGGGGGCGCGATACCAATCAATGAGCTGCACTCGGCGCTCCTGAAAGGAGTCGGCCGGACGGACGGACGGACGGCAGACAGACAGACAGACAGACAGACAGACAGACAGACAGACAGACAGACAGACAGACAGACAGACAGACAGACAGACAGACGGGCGGACGGGCAGCTTCCTGGACGCCCCCGCGGCCCCGCGCTCACCGAGTTCGTCGTGGAGGCATCAGCACACAATGGCGAGCACGCCGCCAGCCGGTAGCGCGTGGCGCGGCGTGGCACGGCACGGCACGGTGTGGCACAGCCTAACACGGCACGGCACGGCACGGCCACTAGAAAGGCGCCAAGAAAAAGTCGCTCGACTCGACGGCGGCCAAGTTCACCTCGGTCACGTTGCCCCACTGGAAGGAAGGTGCGGGGGAGGGGCAGGGAAGGGGGGATGTTGCTGCTGATTCGGGTATTGAAATTTGGCGCGCGTAAAGAAGGAAGGAGGGGGCGTGTCTAGATTAGTCGCGTCTCCGCCTCGGAGACCTGAGAGGGGGAAGGGGGGGGACTGCAGAGTGACTCCGAGAGGCCTCTTCGTCGCTCTGTCTCTCTCGCACCTGCACGGCACGCCCCGTGAGTGCGAGAGAGACGGAGCGGCGGAATCAACCTGCTGCAGGTGGCATTATCATATTTGATGAACGGAAGGAAATGCGGTTAGGTCGGGCGGCGAGGCGGCGGCCGGGCCGCGGCGAGAGTCTGGGTCGCAGTGCGGAGCAGCCGAAGCAGGCGAAGCAGCCGAAGCAGCCGAAGCAGCCGAAGCAGCCGAAGCAGCCGAAGCAGCCGAAGCAGCCGAAGCAGCGAAGGCAAGCAGCCGAAGCAGCCGAAGCAGCCGAGCAGGCAGCAGCAGCCGAGCAGCCGAAGCAGCCGAAGCAGGCGAAGCAGCCGAAGCAGCCGAAGCAGCCGAAGCAGCCGAAGCAGGCGAAGCAGCCGAAGCAGCCGAAGCAGCCGAAGCAGCCGAAGCAGCCGAAGCAGCCGAAGCAGCCGAAGCAGCCGAAGCAGCCGAAGCAGCCGAAGCAGCCGAAGCAGCCGAAGCAGGCGAAGCAGCAGCCGAAGCAGCCGAAGCAGCCGAAGCAGGCGAAGCAGCCGAAGCAGCCGAAGCAGCCGAAGCAGCCGAAGCAGGCGAAGCAGCCGAAGCAGCCGAAGCAGCCGAAGCAGGCGAAGCAGTGGTGTAGAACAAAGCAGGCGAATGCAAAGCGAGAATTAATATGAAATGGGTCGGGTCGGTCTCGCTCGCTGACTTCAAGGGCACCGGCACGGCGGTCCGCTGAAGGGAAAGGGTTGGCGGAGAAACGAGGACAGTTTTCTTTTAGGGGCTGCCCCGTCGTTTTCGTTACTACACCGTGGGAAGGAAAAGCGACTGGAGGTCGCCGTTGGACCGCAGCCAGTTTTTGTCTCTCGTGTGACCGTATTTTGCAGTGTGGACATCGATTTCCGTGTCAAGCAGTGCGATGTGTCGGTGCACTGTGAAACCAAACGTGGACAACTCCACACTTCCTGGTGTGGAGTAAGTCTCCAAGTCTCCACACTTGGAAGTGCAGAGTTAGCAGCCTCCACACTTCAAGTGTGGAGCAGCTCACATGGCCCCTATCTCTTAGCATGGTGCAAACGTGGACAACTCCACGTTTGAAGTGTGGAGACTGCAAACTCTGCACTTCCAAGTGTGGAGACTGAAAATTCCGCTCCTCCGCATTTCAAATGTGGAGTTGTCCACGTTTGGTTTTACAGTGTGGGGAGCACCGAGACCGATGTCGGGGTCCTCCTCCAAAACGAGGACGATGACGGGGGATCTCTCCTCCAAGATGAGTCCGATGGCGGGGGTCTCTCCTCCAAGACGAAGGCCGTGGCCGAGGCCTAGCCGAAGGGTCGGCCAGTGTGCCGCCGAGTAAATGGATATAATTCCCGCTGTCCGCCCACCAGGCCAGGCCTCGGCCCTCGGCCAGCTCGGCCTCGGAAGCTTTGTGCCCTGGGCAGTCCTGGGCAGCCCTGGGCAAGCAATGCGGGCAGGCCCGGCCTCCGCTCGCCTCCGCCACCTCCGCCGCCTCGGCTTGCTGCCCCAGTCTTGTGTCAATATTGTTCGTGGTGGTCCCCGCGGGGGGACGCGGTGGGGGCCGTGGGGGAGGGGGTCTCGGAGTGGCCGGCCGACGTCCCACCGGATGCTGCGACGGACCTCGGCCACGCCGCCAGCCAGCCAGTGTACACAACACCCTGGCATCAATCCGCCGCCCGCCCAGAGCCAACACAACAACCCCGGGGTTTTTGAGGTCGCCTCGGCCGGCCCTGTCGGCCTCGGCCTCGGCGCGCCCTCCGCCACGGCCTCCTCCATGGCCTCGTCAAGCGCAGTGTCCTCGACAGACCGCCCCGGGGCGCCGGGCGTGCTCATCTAGAGGCCGCGGCGCTCCGCCCAGAGAGACGCTAAGATGATGAAGCCGACTTGAGGAGGCCCAATGGGCCGCCATCAGCATCGGCCACGGCCACTCCGTCGCCATGGCAACGCTTTTGTGGGATTGGGGCCCCGGAGCGGACGCTTATTCCGAGCGAGTCGAGCCACTACAGCGGGGCGCCGACAGGGTGACGTGTTGACGCGGTCAGCGCGCAGATTCACGAGGGAGGGGAGAGAGAGAGAGAGAGAGAGAGAGAGAGAGGAGAGAGGAGAGAGAGAGAGAGAGAGAGAGAGAGAGAGAGAGAGAGAGAGAGGAGAGAGAGGAGAGAGAGAGAGAGAGAGAGAAGAGAGAGAGAGAGAGAGAGAGAGAGAGAGAGAGAGAGAGAGAGGGAGAGAGAGAGAGAGAGAGAGAGAGAGAGAGAGAGGAGCGTGGCGTGGTGGAGCGCCCGGGGGGTAGGCAGTCCCGCTGCACGGGCGCGCATACGGGCGTGCCTAAGCGCTCGAGTCACGGCGCCGTGGGCCTCCACCGCCACCCCGGCGGGCTGGGGGCTGGGCTGCCCCGACTCGACTCCCGACCGCGGTGTGCCCGGCCCGGCCCGAGTTTGGCCAGTTTGCACAGCCATGCTGGCGCGCCGTGCCTGGCCCTGCCTTGTCCCCCGAGTGTGGACAGAAAGGGGAAAGGCGGAATGAAATGGTGTTGGAGTTGTTTCCGACAAAGCCTCTAGTTTCCTCTCTGTCTGTTCGCAGGAAGGCGTGTCGCAGCTGCCGGAGCTGCCAGTGCTCGACGCGCGAGGGCGGCGCGCCACTGCCGCCGCTGCCGCCGCCTCCGCTGCCGCCGTCCGTGGGGCTGCCTCTAGCGCCGCCGTTGGGGCTGCCGCCCCGGCACGCGCTGCCGCCGCCCCCGCCGCCCTCGACGCAGCACAAGCCGCCGCCGCCGTCGCCGCCGCCCATGCACACCCCGCCGAGCGTGCCGCTGCCCGCGCCGCCGCCGCCGCCGCCCCTGGCCGCCAACATGGTGCCCAACAACCTGGGGGCGCCGCCCCACGGCCACACCAGCGGCACGGGGCTGTCCATGGCGCAGCAAAACATCTCGACGCACCTGCCCGCGCTGCCCGCGCTGCCGGGGCTGGACCCCGCCAAGGGCCACCTCGGCCCGCCCGGCCACCTCGGCGCCGACCCCCAGCGCCACTCGCAGTCCGATGACGACTCGGGCTGCGCCCTGGAGGAGTACACCTGGGTGCCGCCCGGCCTGCGCCCCGACCAGGTAAGCAAGCACGACTCTCGCTCTCTCGCTCGCAGTGGGCCAGAAGACCGGCGCCGGCGGACAAAACTCCAGACGCGTCTTGAGCTCCAGCGTCGCTAAACAGGACTCGAACCCAGCGTGTGACCCCCACCAATGGATTCCTCGTTCGGAGAGCGATCCATCGGTGGGGTCACACGTTCGGTTCGAGTCCCACTTAGCGACTCTGGAGCTCAAAACGCGTCCGGGATTTGGAAAGCCTCTCAGGTCTTCTCGCCCACCCACTGTAAGACGGACACGGGCGTGATGTGCGCCTCGCCGCGCGCCACGCACGCCGCACGCTCCGGCGAGCGTGACATTGTGGCGTGTTGCGCGTTCCGCGCGATGCTCCGCGACGCGTCATCGGCTGCTCCCCGTGCTCTACATGCACGGCCAATGAGCGTTGCGCAACTTTATTGCCGCCGTTCTCATCGGGCCGCTCGCCGCGGCTTGCCGCTTTCGCCACGGACTGTGCGTCTCGGCGCGGGAATTATTTAGTAGTGGCGTGGCTCGCCGAGTCTTAGCAGGCCTCTCGGCCGAGGCCGCGTTATAGCGAGCTAGGCCAAGTCGGCCGGCTACTGTTCGGCCGGAGTACACGGCCTCATAAACGTAACAACAAATTATTTTTACTGCCGCGGCGTGGCGGGGCGGGGCGGGGCGGGGCGGGGCGGGGGCAACATGCGGACGCCAGGTGGGCTATGGGCCGAATAGCACCGCACTAGCACTGCCCTGCAGCTGCGGGCCGGCAGGTGCGGCTGGTGCGGTAGCGGCTGCGGCGGCTGCAGCCGTGCGAGGGTCAGTGTGCAGCACACTGTGAGCGGCCCGAGCAGCATGTGTAGCGGGGCTATAGCAGCGGGGCTGACGCGGTCCCTTCCTCCAAGCTAGCCCAACAGTCCGCCTTACAGTCGTCGCCTCCTGTGACTCTCGTGGAAAATGCCTCCAAATCCGAGAAGCAGGCCTGTCTCTACGATATGCGAAATGGGAATTGCATCTGTGCCCTATCTGCTCTGCTTATACACGATGATTATGATCCTTCCCCTCCTCAGAAGTAGGAGAAGACAGAGAGCATGCCGCGGGGCGGCGTCGGCGGGGCGTTCTGCTGGAACTGATCAGTCTCGCCGTTTTTAGAGATGGAGCGGGGTGCGGTGGGGCGGGGCGGGGCGGGGCGGGCGGGGCGGGGCGGGGCGGGGCGGGGCGGGGCGGGGCCTACAAACACTTAGTAGCACTGCTCCCGATGCGTCCGGCCGATAGGGCCTAGGCGTGACGGCAGCGGGAAGCCGAGTGGGCAGACCCGCCCCGCCCCGCCCCGCCCCGCCCTCCGCTGGACCCCTCCCGGACCAATCAGGACGTTATCAGTAATCAATCGGAGACTTGCTGATTCGTTTCGCTCCTGTAACTCGCGCGCGCGCGTGCGTGTGTGTCTGTGCGTCCGTGTGTGAGATGGGGGCGGCTTGTAGGGCAGCATTGCAACACCACACACACCAACGGAGACGGCCGCGCATGCCGCTTCCTCCTCGCACTAGTGTCCGGCGGCAGACTGATTCCGAGAGTCTTTTCCGTCTCTCTGTCTCTCTCGCACCTACATGCGGCGCCCCATGAGTGCGAGAGAGACAGAGCGACGAAAACGACTCTCGGAATGAGCCTGCAGAGCCAGTGCTCTCTTTACGTCGCCTCGCGGTCCGACGGCGCGTGATCGAACGCCTTCCTGAACGCCCTTGATCATGGGCGGGGCGAGGCTGCCCTGCCCTGCGAGCGGCCTCAGCAGCGGCAGCAGTTTCGAAACGGAAAACCGGCGCTATCATTGGAGATCGCACGGAGCACGCGTGTGCGGGCGCGCGGCGCACCAACACACACACATACACACTTACACACTTACTTACTTACACACACACATACACACACACTGTCAATCGGGGCCGGCGGCGGCAGTAAATAGTGACACTTTATGACCACCTGAGCCGTCTGCCGCCGCGGGGCCGCCTTCACCGCGCACGCCCGGAGCGTGGCGTGGTGTGGCGTGGCGTGGCGTGGCGTGGCGTGGTGTGGCGTGGTGTGGCGTGGCGTGGCGTGGCGTGGCGTGGTGTGTCGTGGCGTGGCGTGGTGTGGCGTGGCGTGGCGTGGCGTGGCGTGGCGTGGCGTGGCCCCCCCAGCAGACTGATTCCGAGAGTGTCGTTTTCGTCGTTCTGTCTCCCTCGCACTCATGAGGCGTCCCGTAAAGGTGGGAGAGAGACAGAGCGACGAAAACGACTCTCGGAACCAGCTCGCTGCTGCAACACACACGCGCGTTGCGCGTGCGCTCGTGCCTTGGCGCTCCGTGTAAGTAGTGCGAATGGACTCAGGCGGTCGTCGTCGCCCGGCCCTGCAGTGCCCTGCCTTGCAGTGCCCTGCCTTGCAGTGCCCTGCCCTGCGCAGTCCCTTCGCGTGATCAGCGACGCCGTCATCAAAAAGGCATCAGCCGCGCGGCTTTTCAACGCCTCGATTCATTTGGCGCGTCACGCATGCCGCCTGCAACAATAACAACAACAACAACAACAACAACAACATCGCTCCTCAGCGTAATTCCTGCATGGGGTACTCCATAGTTGTGATGCCACGGGGTGAACTGGAAAATCCTAAGTTCTGATCACGCGACTTGAGTCGCCCAAAAGTGTCCATTTCTCGATCGTTTTCTTAGAGGCTGTATTCGAACTTGGCGCGCGAACTTCGACCGTCGCCTGATCACAACACCGCGAGCAGCAGCAACTCCTGGTGGTGATGAGTGACAGCGAGGCAAGCCACCATAACAGAATCGCGCGACTCGGATTTCGGGGCTTTTGTTTACCTCCGTTTTCTTTTCTCTCTCACTCTCCTTAAATTCCCTTGCCCAAACAGAAATAGGCAACCGACGGACCGGCGACGTAACGCCTTATGGCGCGTACGGCCCTGCAGACTGATTCCGAGAGTCCTCTCCATCGCTCTGTCTCTCTCGCACCTACACGGGACGCCCCATGAGCGCGAGAGAGACAGAGCGACGAAAGCGACTCTCGGAATCAGTCTGCTGCTGCGCTGCCCCGGCCGGCCGGCCGGTCGCCCGGTAAGTCGATGATGGTTATAATAGAGCCCGATGGCCTCGCCATAAATTTACTGGCCATTGCATACAGATGTATCGCCCCGGACGGCTCCATCTCGTCGTCCCGCTGACTCGCGGACGCGCGGACACTACCCCCCCCCCTCCCCCATTCTGATTTATTCCAGTGGCGTATTACGCCCCGCGCGGTATGATCCGACCGACGCGTAATATAAGACAAGTCGGCGTCCCCGCGGCGCGGCTCGCGGCTTCGAATCCCCCCATTGCGTCATTCATTGTGGCCCCTGATGAAAACGGAGCGTAAACGAAGGATGAACGGGGAGGTAAAACGAAGCATAAACGAAGGACGAAAGTAAACGCTTGTTTCGGCGGAGCTTAAACGAAGCATAAGGCTTCGAGACCATCGGAGCATAAACGATGCTTGAACGAAGCATAAGGCTTCGAGACCATCGGAGCATAAACGAAGCTTGAACGAAGCATAATCGGAGTGGCAATAGGTAAAAGGAAACAGACCGGCGAGGCTACCTCCTGATGATTCTCCGAGCCTGGTGCCTCGTTTGACTCATCCACGCGCGGGAAGCGCCGAAAGTGATGCTTGTAGAAGTTTTGAACCCACGACGCCGCCTCGGTGCACCTCAAAGCTGAAGACGCTGCCAACTGCGCCACGGAGGATGTCTGGGGAGCTTCCTTTACACAGCACCTGACTATCTGAGCGAGAGTGTTCTCCGGGCCCACCCCCGGCTGGGGTCACTGGAGGGGGTACGGCTGCAACATGGTTCGGCCTCAGAGCCAACTCATTGCAATTTACTCTAAGTGTCGCCGGAAGCGTAAACGAGGAGGTATTGGGGCGTTGACGAAGAGGTCAGCCCACGGAGCGTAAACGAAGGAGAGCGCTCCCTTCGTTTCAGCTTCCCCGGTCGAAAGGAAGCATGAACGGAATGGTATCGGAGCGTAGGTGAAGATGTCGGCCGCGGAGCGGAAACGAAGAAAACGCCACCTTCGTTTAAGCTTGCCCTGAGAGGAGGGAAGCATGAACGGGGTGGTATCGAAGAGGAAACGAAGCGGTCAGGCACGGAGCGTAAACGAAGGAGGAACCACCTCCGTTTAGGCTTCCCCTGCCAGGAAGGAAGCATAAACGGAGTGGTATCGGAGCGTAGGTGAAGATGTCGGCCGCGGAGCGGAAACGAAGAAAACGCCACCTTCGTTTAAGCTTGCCCTGACAGGAGGGAAGCATGAACGGAGTGGTATCGAAGAGGAAACGAAGCGGTCAGGCACGGAGCGTAAACGAAGGAGGAACTACCTCCGTTTAGGCTTCCCCTGCCAGGAAGGAAGCATAAACGAAGAGATTGGAGCGTAAGCGGAGCACTACCTCTTCGTTCATGCTTCGCTCACGCTTCGTTCATGCTTCCAGGCTCCAAACGTTATCCTTCATTTTCATCAGGGGCAGTGTCCTGCCGGCTATTTTTCCTACTTTATCCTCGTTTCTCGGACGGCGCGTCCTTTTCTTTTCCTTTTTGCTTTTCCAGTGTGCGTGCCCCGCCGCTGTCGCGTCCTTTACGAAAGAGTTGTTAAGCGTGGTTTATGTCCCGCAGCGCCTCGCTTGTTTCCGTCGCTCTGTCTCTCTCGCACTCGTGGGGCGTCCCGTACAGGTGCGAGAGGGACAGAGCGAAGAGAACGACTCTCGGAATCAGTCTGCAGGCGGTGCGATGTACGTGTGGTTAGGCGGGGCTGCCAGCAGGCTCATTCCGAGAGTCGTTCTCGTCTCTCTCGCACCTACCCGGCACGCCCTGTGAGTGCGAGAGAGACAGAGCGACGAAAACGACTCTCGGAGTCAGTCTTCGGCGGGCCCCTGGACTGGGGCGATTCGTCAACGGCACGGTCGGAAGGCTCAGTGCGCTCAGTGTCCGGGATGACTCCA